ATATGGAAATATCAATTCAAGAAGTCGTTGTCTTTAATTACTCCAAATGATGTTGTGTACAAGATAATAGAACGATGTGAAGCAGATATGGTTTTGTTGCAAACTTTATTATTCTTGTTGTACATGTTTTGGATCATGTAACAAACAAGGTGCATGCAATTTGAAGCTTCTACCGTATTTGTCTGAATCATATAAGTTATATAAGTTTGATTGGTGACATATGTATTAAATTGTGTAAAAGAGGAAAAGTTGATTTGGGGTAGAAGTGATATTAAGACCTTCTTCAATGGTCAAGTATCTTTCTACAGTGTGTCATTTAATGTTGTTTGAGTAAATATTTTTAAAATATTAGTAATATTTTATATTTTGTTATTATATTTTGTTTTTTTTTTTGTAGTTTCTATATGTTGATAGGATTCAATGTAGGCAAATGTTAATGGTTAGAAGATATCCAGTAATTAATAATTGGACTTTAGAGCAGTTGAAAGTGAGAGAAATGAATGAAATTTCTAATAGAGGTTTTGGAAGGCCATCTACTACAGTGGAAAGTGTTGATGAAGTTTCTAGAGGATCAATTTTAGTAAGTAATGTTATTTGTGTATTTTTGAAGCTGAACATGATTTATTTGTTTGTATGTTGTTTTTAGTTTATTTAAGTATATATATATATATATATATTAATTTTTGTTATGTTTTTTATTGTTATCAGGAGTTTCATTCAGAAATGAAGTGGTGTTTAGTAGATATGTCTAAGAAAGTGGATAAAGCCTTTAAAACGCATGGAAATTTCAAAATAGTAGAGTTTTATGGATTGAAGCTGAAAGAGTTATGTTCTGCATTAAAGCTTTTCATCATAGTAATTATAAATGCGAATATGCTTTTCAGTCATCTGGAAAAAAGTAGTAGTTTGATGATAAGTCTAATGAATTTCGAGATGTTGGGCAGTCTGTTAACAACAGCGTTGGTGGTAATAAATATGGATCGGCAAATTTGTTTGGCGAATATGGAAATATGGAAACTAAGTTGCATGTGGATTGCGAGGGTGGTCATAAGGAAAAATGTGTAGTTGAGGGTATTCCTTCTTTTAATTTAGGAATTGATGACGATATGCATACTCCTCCAAAAGTGAGTCCAGGTGTTGTTGTTAATAAATATGGATCGGCAAATTTGTTCGGGAAATCTGGATTTATTGAAACTAAGTTGCCTCTGGATTGCGAGGGTGGTCATAAGGAAAAGTGTGTAGTTGAGAGTATTCCTTCTTTAATTTAGGAATTGAGGATGATATGTATACTCCTCCAAAAGTTATCCAGGTATTGATAGTTATGTGCACAATAATTATGTTTCTGTTGGAATAAGTTCTGATTCAGTAAAAGGAATGAACCTAAGTCTTGCGATGAAAGTGAAAAAGTTAAAATTCTTGAGAAAGATATGATTTCATCGAGACCAAAGAGAAGTCAAACGTTACCTCCAGTGCTTAGGTCTCCATTTGTTGTACGAGCTGTTGAGATTGATAGTAATTTGACGAAGGAGGAGAATATCAAGTCTAATTGGCTATTCAGTTTATGTGGGAATCCAACGTAATGTGTTTGTGTATATGTATATATATTTTTATATATAAATAATATTTAAGTTAATGTTTTTTAATTTTATTTTAATAGGGATGATCTTTTTCATAGCATAAATGGTCAACGTGGGGAAAGATACATGTTTGAGAGCTTATATCCGGGAGAATTTCTTTTTTCTGGGACTATTAATTGTTTTGTTGAAGTGTGAACTATGATGAGAGAGCTAGGAATTTGGACACTCTTCATGTTTCTTCTTCAAGACAGTAGTATTGGTATGTATAGTAGTTGTTAGTATATTTTTATGATGTTTATTGAATTTTTGTTTTGTATTTAGGATCCTGCATACATGCATAGTGAAGCATGTAAATATGATGATGTGTACGAGAATTTTAAAGAAAATGTTTTTCATTGTTTGGGAGAGTCTAAAGAACGAAGAAATTTAAAAGGAATTGATTTGGTAAGTTTAATTTTATTTGAAATTTTATTCCTTTTGTGTTTGTATCTTACTATGAAGTTGTTTATGTTTATTTAGGTGTTCTTTCCTGCATGTGCAAACAGTCACTATTTTGTGTTTGTTTTTTATTTTAAAAACCGCAAAGTTGTCATATTGGACAACATATTGTATAGATCTTCTGAAAAACCATACCCACATCTAACTCAAAATCTGGTAAGTTTGTTTGTATTTTTTTGTTTAAATGTTTATGTATATTCATGATTATATATATATATATATATATATATATATATATATATATATATATATATATATTATGAATTTTTGTTTATATGTAAATGCAGAAATATATGTTTGGTAGATATCTTCAAGACATAAAACATTTTATGGCTTTTTCAGTTATGTATGAAATGGAATTTGTTGATCAATATATGACGTGGAAAACAAGAGGTAACAGTAATGATTGTGGGATTTTTTTGATGCGTCATATGGAAACTTATAAAGGTGGTCCTTTAGCTCAATGGAGATGTGGTTTTAAAATGGAAAGTGTTGAGCAGATTTTGCAACTTAGAAATCTTCGAAGAAGATATTCTATGAAAATTCTGTTGAGTGAAGTAAATCTAATGAAAAATGAAGTTGACCAACTTCTTGTTGATTATCAAAAGCTTTCTTCAAATGGCAGGCGTGTAATGTATCATGAAGGCATTATCAATATAGCAGCTAGGTTAGCCGCTTTTGGTCCTTGATATATCTTTGTTGAAGTAAAATTCAAGTCGTTATGTTTATGTAGAAGTATTCATAGTAATGGTTATGAATGAGTTAGTAGAACAATTTGTTATGAAGTTTTTTAAATGTGTGTTTGTTTTTGGTTGTTGTTGTTTTGGTTGAATGTAATGTACTTCTACGAACATAAGTTTATAATAATATATGAAAAGTGTGGCTACGTTTTTTTGTTTTTGATTTTGATTGTATATGTATAATCTTTTATAAAGTTAATATATTTACAATCATATATAATATTAACATATATAAATACACAATATCTATAATCTTTTAAAACCGTCGTATCTAAAATTTTCAGAGTAAGATATCAACAATAATATATAATATTAACATTATAACAACCACGATAGATAATATTTAAAAATATATTACAGTCCCCATTACAATCATCCCAAAAGTTTGAGCACATAAACATATTATAAAAACCTCCAAATATTAATAATAACACCATTTACTTAAACCCAAAAACCCAAAAAACCCAAATTCCCACCTTTTCACCTTGCAGCTTCATCTACTTCCCCAGAAGATTCACTTGATACTTGGTGTAATCCAAAGCTTCAATGAGTTTGTCAACATTTATCCAAAAGTTGAATTTGTCAAAAAGCATGATCCTAGCCTCCCAAACAGTAATTTTTGGATTTGATGCAACTATTGAATAAAGTTTCGTGCACAGATAACTGTTTGTTGCAAAGTTTAAAGTTTTTGGGAAGAAGTTTGTAACAGTGGTTTGATTATGCTCCAAATAAACTTGTTGAACACAAAAAAAAACCCTTCTGTTTTAACTTTTTTGACAAAGTTAATGAAATCATTCCAATAAGCAAGCTTGTTTAGACCAATGTCTAAGGGAGCAAACGAGACTAAAGAGTATGCATATGTTGTCTCAACATCATAACCAAAAGAAGTTAAGATGCTTTGAAATACCTTTGGGGAGAAAGTTTCAACCTCGATGAAGTCTACATAGTCAATCTTGTCTCCATCGTAATCGCGATTTGGGTAGTATTTGAAACTACCTCCATGATGTAGCATCATCGTGAAGTACTTTTTGTTTTCCCACCCTGAATGAATATTGAAAAGAATATTATATAAGTATTAATAGTATACGATTTTAACAATAAAGAACATACCATATGTGTCGTAAAGATCAAGATAATCCGAGGAGTTTCGAACTACCCAAATGGATGATTTAGAAGCCATCAATGTATGTGTTTTCTTCCTTAAGTTTATGTTTATGTTTAGGAGGAATATATAGCGGTAACAATCGGAGTAAGTAGAGGAGTAATTAATTTTCTGCCATCATTTGCTTCAATAAGTGGTATAGCTATTTTGGCGGTTGTAGGTTTAGCTAATCATGTTATCTATACATTGAAGATGATAATACTTATCTTTTTATGAATTAAATTTTTTTTTTGTATTTTATAAAACTAATCGGTATATATTACTTTTTTTAAAAAGTTGATATATAGAAAATAATTTTTTTTGTATGTTATAATGTGATAATAGTGTTGTTATTGTTTATGTTTTTACATTTTTTTTTCTTTAATTTTTTTTTAAATATAAATTATAAAGTTAGTATTAGATGAAAAGGTTTTTATGTGAAAGAAATGTTTGTATTTATTGTAATTAAGGTGATTTGACTTCTCTATTTATGAATAGATTTAAGTAATAAATGAAAGATTTTTTAAAACATTTAAGTAATAAATTTCGAAAAAAGTCTCATAATTTCAAATACTTTATTCCCTTAACAATTCAAAATTAGGTTATCAAAAAGGATATGATAAGAGTTTCATAATTAACAAATGAGACAAAGATAATTTGCTTAGCCATTTCAAACTTAACATCTGTATAGTGTTCTATAAGTCATTAAGCTCATCGATCTGCAAATGTCACCAACAACCGTTACGTACTAACCTAAAGACATGCATGTCAAAATAATATATTACCTTTTTTTATTAATTTGATATATAGCAATTTTTTTTTGTATGTTATAATGTGATTTCAGTATTGTTATTATTTATAGTTTTTACATTATTTTTTTTTCTTTAATTTTTTTTAAAATATAAATTATGAAGTTAGTATTAGATGAAAAGGTTTTTATGTGAAAGAATGGTTTGTATTTATTGTAAATAAGTTGTTTTGACTTCTCCATTTATGAATAGATTTAAGTAATAAATGAAAGATTTTATTAGGTTATATAGTATTATATATTTCTGAAGATTTGTTGCGTGTATGTACATGTGTATAATATAAAGTTACTATTAGATGAAAAGGTTTGTATGTGAAAGTGTTGTAAGTATTTATTGTATTTAAGTTAATTTGACTTATCTATTTATTATTTTTAATATTTTTTGTAATTGTTAATTTTGAAGAGATTTAAGCAATAAATGAAAGATTTTATTAGGTAATATAGTATTATATATTTTTAAAGATTAGTTGCGTATATATACATGTGTAATATCTAATATTATATTTTTCAATCTCATTAGAGTTAATATTTTTAATTAAAATGTTTCTGAATATTTAGTTGATGATTTGAAATAGTCTTAACATATATTTCGGAAGATTAGTGGCATATATATATATATATATATATATATATATATATATATATATATATATATATATATATATATGTGTGTGTGTGTGTAAGTTATAAATAAAAATATATATTGCAATATAATGTATATTTTTCATCAACATAAGATGTATAAAAAACAAATGAGATTGTGTAAATTTTAAAATACGTTGGTTCAACATGATTTTAGGAATTGTACATTTGTCGAAAGACATGGTCAAAAGAGTTGCAGAGAAGATGTTGAAGGAAAAAGAATAGGTACGTAATTCAAAATTCAAATCGTTTAATGCGACTAATAGTAATAGTTTTAATACAGAGAAGCTTAACAACAAATAAATCTAAAATTCATATATAAGTTACTGATGTTTTTTGAAAGGCCTAAGCACATTTGAAGGATTTATTGGGCAATTTCTTATATCATGGTTGACAATTGGTTGCATCCTTTGCATTTGCGTTTTGGTTTAAGTGCTTTTGCTATTGCTTTTTCTGCAGCACTTTTGATTCGACTCCTCTTTCCACTTCCTTTTGTTTTTATCTCACTTGGTACTTTGATTTTCACATCACTTGAAATTGGAACTCCGATGATATTTTCAATCACATCTTTTATTGGAATTGAACTTGATCTTGTAGAAACATCCTTTCCACATTTTTCACTTAATTGTTGAAGAGAGTTCACCAATTCTTGTAGTTTTTCTTTGTCATGAATAACCGATTCAACGCATTTCTCAAAAAAAGAAGTTGCATCCTGCAAGAGATTTGAAATTTCTGTACTGCACACTCTCCATTTTTTGTTTATCTTTTGAAAACCAATATCCACTATGTTCTTTCTCCATCTATCCAGAATGTATTTTTCAGGTATCATGGCAATGTCATAATCTATAAGAATTCTGAAAGCATGACTACAAAGGATTCCAAAAAATGTGAAATGCAAACATTCACATTCAATTGTTTCATCTTTTGCATTAAAAGAAACCTGAGAAGTAATAATAAAATTTTATTCAAAAATATATTTATAAATTCTAAATAATGTTAACTTAAAATAATAATGAAGTAGCATAATTGAATACCTTAAATTCTGGTCGCTTGCCTGATTTTAGTTCTTTGTAGACAATTATGCATTGTTGACGACCATCAATCAAAACCGAATTTTTTTGAAAACACTGATAGAATGCCTTTTTTATTTGTTTTTGCACTTTTATGAATGCTTCTCGAGTGTATACCAATGATGCATGCTTTTCTATTTTCAAATTTTCATTTGGAAATAGCAGTTGTGGAGAAGTATCTCTTGATGCAATGTCTAATCTTTTTTGTTCATGACGCTGCTTTGAAAGTGCAGTGTCAAAGTTGAACATAAAATTAACAAGTAAGTTGGTTGGACTTGAGAAAACATTGAAAAAGGAATTAGAACTTTCAGATCGAGATGTAGTCTTCATAAGTCCACACATTGGTATATCTCTGAAATAGGATGGAATCCATTTATCTCTCTTGTTGAACATATCAGCCAGCCATTTATTTTCCTTCAAATGAAACTCATTCAACATCAAATCCCATTTGTTCTCAAATTCTGATGGTTTAATATTCATATTCCAAACTAGTTGATTTATGCGTTTCTTGAAATCTGTATTTGAAACTAAGTCAGCTTCAATCTGTCATGTTAAATTTGGTTTTATTAGTATATTTTCATAAGCTATATGTAATTCACTAAATTAAATTTTTTGTTACCTTTGATGGCATTTTTGACATTATGTGCCACATACATAATCTGTGAGTACATCCTTCAAACACCTTTGCTATTGAACAAGATAATGTTGCATCCGTATCTGATAGAATCATTGTTGGTTTCTTCTTATGTGATGACAAAAAAGCTTCTAATAACCAAGAGTATGATTCAATTGTTTCATCTGATATTAGTCCTGCTCCAACGTTGATTGTCTTGTCATGATTGTTTATTTCAGAGAAAGGAACAAATATCATATTGTACCTGAAAATATTTGTAAAATGTATCCCTTATATGTAATATTATTTAATAAATATAAATTTTACCCGTTTGTTCTATAAGTAGCATCCATTGATATAACATCAGAAAACTTATTGTAGTTTTCTCTTCCTGTTTCATCAACCCAAAACATAGCATTTAACACATCATCATCCAACTTATATTGAAAATTGAAATTTTGATAATTATTTCTGCGAATTATCAACTGGTCTACAACACATTGAGCATCATTTGGTCCAACAATATTTGTATAATCTCTCCAAAAGTTTTTGAAATCATTATTTGTTGCTGGCAAATTATCATATCCTCCCTTTAATGATGCTCTTAACTTGTGTGCTTTTGTGGCACCAATGTTGATAGTTGAAGCTTTAACAATTAGTTTTTGATCAAAAATACTAAGACGATGATTTGGAGAGCAGATGTTTTCTTCATTAAATTTAGTAAGTGGATGGTTATGTGTGTCTTCAAATGCATATACAGTGATTATATTTGTTGTAGCATTTCTGTCAAAACCAATCATTGCCATACATCCTGTGACCTTAGAATATGATTTTCTTTCCTGTTTTTTCAGTCGTTTGGATGTAAGAGTATCAATGGTTTTTTTTTTTTTTTGGATTTCCATATATATGTTGCATCTTACTTGTTTTTTCCTTAGACTTAGATCCCCGTATTTGGTTGTTGTTCCTAATCTAATTCCAAAATCAACTGCTTTTGCATAATTTTTGTACATTTCAATTCCTTCATTTAAACTTGACACAATTTGTCCTTTTTTAGGAATGATATCTACAGCAACATATGGAATGTACACATCATCTTGATTTATATAAGATGTTCCTGTCAAATATTCAAAACGCTCAATATTGAAATATATTAAATATGTTCATAATTATGTATTTAATATAAATTAGGTAAACATGCCTTTATCCTTTTCTGTTGCTGCTGCACTTGTAGTTCCTTTTGAAAGTTGAACTCCAGAGTCAGTTTGTTTATTTTAAAATTATTAGTAATTGTTCTATAGAATTTAGTAATCTATCTTAAATTTAATTATTGAATAATAACATCAGAAATATTCATCTTATCATTTATTAAACTTGCGTTTATCACCATTGTTGAATGTTGATTTTGAAGGTTCAATAGTTAAAACATTGAATGAGTCTTCCGATTCATTACTTCCTGTCCAATATTCATAAAGATTATTGAAATAAGTATTTATATGTAAATATTTAGTAAATGAAATCTAATTAATCATACGATTAACTTTTTTTTACTTCGGATCATGAACATCAGTTTGAAGGTTGAAACTAATTTTCAGTATAATCGTAAAAATATATGTAATGAGTGTGTATCATAGTATTGTAATGTTAGGTATTTATAATTTTTTAATATTAGAATAAAAAATATGGTAATTATACAGAATGAAAACTTGCCTTTATCAACATCATCTAACGTTGATATTGAATTTCCGATAGTTAAATTTTGGGAAGATTCCTTTGCTTTATCAATTAAATAAGTAGAACAAATATCTTCATATTCTTTACTAGACATTTCTTCAATTTGATATTGTAACTAAATCAATCAATGATTTTAATGGAGATGATTTTGTCGATCATAAACATACGGAAGAAGTTATTTTCATAAATATGTCAGTTTTTGTTTGCGGTTATTTATATGAAGAATGAATTCAATCACTATTTTATGTTAATTACTATCTTACCCTTTATTAATAAATTTAAGTAATAAATTGAAGAAAACATGAATAATGATGTGGCAATATATGATTGGTTCCTTCATTTTCACATATAGTTTGCATTTTTGCATGAGCCTTCCCTATATATATATATATATATATATATATATATATATATATATATATATATATATATATATATATATATATATATATATATATATGTATGTATGTATTAGAACTAGAAAATCTAACGTATTCCTAATACCACTTATATTTCAGATAAGACTTGAACACTTGACCTCAAAGAAATATATCAAATTAAAGTATAAATTATTTTTTAATATGTATTATAGTAAACATGTTGATGTTGTCTAAAATATATTTAGGTAATAAAAACTTTTTCGTGTTTTAATCGACTTGTTTTCGTGTTCATGAAAATAAACACAACATCGTGTCCTGTCGTGTTCATGTTACATAAAACTATGTCATGTCGTGTCGTTTCAGGCAAAAACACGATATCATCATTATGTAATCGGTCAGGACCGGCTTAGAGCAAGGGCAAGCTGGGCATTTGCCCAGGGCCTCACGAAAGCTTGGGGCCCCAAATTTACGGGTAATACGGTTTTTATACATATTTAATATATATAAAATAATACTCTTTGTTTTACAAATTTTCCTTTCAGCTTAGTTGGTCACGTAGTCAAATTAGAGGTGCTTTATTTGATGCCTTTTTTAGTGGCAAGGGTTCGAAACTGTTTCACGTTAATTTTCTTATGTTTTGGGATTATCAAAATTTGAGATTAGTTCTAATTATATAATTTTTTTTTCAACCAATAAAACATAAATGGAATTAAGAAAAAGAATAATGAGGCAAATAAATAAGAAGATGACGAGACTTTAGAAATAGTTACCAATAAAAAACATGAAATCTTATTTTGTTTCCTATACAATCGCTTTAGCCCATTTTTCAAATATTAACTCAATCAATTCTTTTTCTTCTCGATTCTCTAATCTCTCTCGAGTCTATGTTAGTGATTTAATCATATGAGTTTATTGGAATTCATGACTAATCTATTAAGGTATTCATTAACGTTTAATTGATTTTTATATTTTGATTTTGTGTTTAAAAGCTGAAACCAAATGAAGTATTCAATAATTGTTTTTAGATTTGATTTTCTGATTTTTAGATGTTAATGGTCTAGTGTGCAATGGCAGTGGGTTTCATGTTCATTTTTTTTTGTTGGCTTGTGTTTAAAAGTTGAAACCAAATGAAGTACTTTTTTTTTGTTGACGAAATGCTTGTAAACATGTGTTTTAGTTTGTACTTTAGTCTTTGTGCATCAAATATTTGAAGAAACAAAAGAATACTTTATTTATTTAGCAAATTAACAACATCCTTTGTCAAATTTAAGGTTTAAATATAGTTGAAAAACATCAGGTTTTGTTCAATATTATAATGAAATTGTTTGGTATATTTATATGTGGTTTTGAAAAGTAAAAGCACATTAAAGGAAATTCTTTCTTAAAATGCTCGAGGATGAATAAAAAACCGAACAATATCGTCATTCGTCTAATGTCAACAATCATGTGTTTTCATTTTTTTTTTTGTATCCTTTGAATATATAATAATTTTTTTAATCATTGATTTATATTATACGGTTTGGTTATGTTACTTCTTGAGAAAGATATATTGGATAACGTTGATTATTAGTTTATACTTTTATTAGTGATTTTACATCTAAAAAAAACTCACACAAATATTTTTTTATAACTTTGTGCAGTTTCATATTTATAACATCAGCTGCATAATTGAATAAAAATACCGAAGTTGGAACAAGTAGCTTCTTTCAAAATTTAATGAACCTCAATTGTAAGTTTTTCATCTCTTTTCTCAATTTATATATGAATTTTGATATTTTACTTTAAATTATTGGAATTTGAAGGGGCCATTTCTTTCTTTTTGCCCTGGGCCTCTTATCTGTAATCGGTTCTCATATTAACATTGTACTTTCAATTTTTAATAAACAATAATATTCAATAAACACTTTATAACCGGTCTCTTCAATTGAGTTATTAAGTTAACTCTTGTTTTCTTACAAAATAATTACCAAACAATTGCCTTTTAAAATTTATTTAATGTTTAGTTGTAGTTTTCAATTAACAAGAAAAACTAATGACACTTAGTTGAATCACAAACACGTCTTGCCTGCTGGTTACCATTTCCCTCATGCGTGTTCTTCCTTCCTCACCCCTTCACGTGTTTTTCCCACCTTATGATGTTATACGAACACAGGCGACTGCTTTTACTCATTCCTTACCAATTTCTCCCAACTTCTCCATCCTTCGTCGGTTGCCATGAACTGCAAGCCTTATCTTCTTGTTCAGTTATCAGCTTTTAAAGATTAAGGACTGGCATTCTTATTATTTACCATTATACATCTGGTCATTTTTTAGAATATAAAGGATGAAGCTGAAAATCATTGAAATGGGTCACTTTTATTGAAAAATAAGACAAACTTGATTGGTATATTTGGTTAAGTCCTTAGAGTACATTGCTATTATCAAGGAAAAAAATGTATATCGATTTAGATGATTGTTGGTGAAAGTATAAAGAAAATAATCACACAAGTAGAACGGTATAATGGTCATTTAAAGTCATTGATCAAATAAAGGATATATAAACAAAATGTAAGTACATAATGTTGTAATCGATAATATCAAATGTATAAACTTTTTAAAATTAACAATAATATAAAAACAAACTATTGAAAACAATAAATAGAAAACAAAGAAAGTATCTAATCATAAACAATTGTCATTACAAAATATCTTCATCATAAAAAAAACCATTATTAACGAACAAACAACAAATGTAAAATGTCATATTCTCTTCCTGGATAAGTAACTAGCAAAAATTTTTATCGAAATAAAAAAACTTCATGGGAACGATGAACTTGAATAACATGCTCAATTGAAATACATTTAAAGAAATACATTTTGTGATTTCAAAAAACCCACCATTCATGTGCATCAGCATTTTCATTATTATCATCAACCCTAACCCATCGATCATCAATCAAAACCCAAACAAACCACAAACAATGATCAATTTGTAAGGCATATCCAACTTTTCCCTCAAATTTAAAAAGCCGTCATGTGTACAAACAATACACTTCATTTGGCGATGGTGTAGAAAAAAGTTGGGTAAATTACACGAATGATCCCTATGGTTTAAGGTAACTTGCGCGTTTGGTCCCTAATTTATTTTTCTAACTCGGAAGGTCCTTACTGTTTGTTTTTGTTATACGGTTGGTCCATATCTTACATAAAAAGTCTATTTTTTCCTTGATTTTTTAATTTATTTAAATAAACACGCCCTCAATTTCATCCTCTCTCCTTACCTTACCTACTCTATCATTTCTCACTTTTTAAATAATTATCTTTTTACGTAAGATAGGAACCAAACGCGTAACAAAAACAAACAATAGGGACCAAATGTGTAGCAATAACAAACAGTACGGACCTTCCGAATTAAAAAAATAAGTTCCTATCTTACATAAAAAGTCTATTTTTTCCTTGATTTTTTAATTTATTTAAATAAACACGCCCTCAATCTCATCCTCTCTCCTTATCTTACCTACTCTATCATTTCTCTCTTTTTAAATAATTATCTTTTTACGTAAGATAGGAACCAAACGCGTAACAAAAACAAACAATAGGGACCAAATGTGTAGCAATAACAAACAGTACGGACCTTCCGAATTAAAAAAATAAGTTCCTATCTTACATAAAAAGTCTATTTTTTCCTTGATTTTTTAATTTATTTAAATAAACACGCCCTCAATCTCATCCTCTCTCCTTACCTTACCTACTTTATCATTTTTCTCTTTTTAAATAATTATCTTTTTACGTAAGATAGGAACCAAACGCGTAACAAAAACAAACAATAGGGACCAAATGTGTAGCAATAACAAACAGTACGGACCTTTCGAATTAAAAAAAATAAGTTCTTATCTTACATAAAAAGTCTATTTTTTCCTTGATTTTTTAATTTATTTAAATAAACACGCCCTCAATCTCATCCTCTCTCCTTACCTTACCTACTCTATCATTTTTCTCTTTTTAAATAATTGTCTTTTTACGTAAGATAGGAACCAAACGCGTAACAAAAACAAACAATAGGGACCAAAATGTGTAGCAATAACAAACAGTACGGACCTTCCAAATTAAAAAAATAAGTAACAAACAGTACGGACCTTCCGAATTAAAAAAATAAGTTAGGGACCAAACGTGCAAATTACCCCAAACCATAGGGACCATTCGTGTAATTTACTCAAAAAATAACAATTCTTCGGAATATGCAACAATGCGTAAAATGTCACCGTTTGATAATAACATGTAAACCGCACCTCCACTTACGATTGCTTCATCGGAAACAGGAAAAACAACATATCTACCTAATTATGATTATAACATTCATATAATGTTTTTTTGTTGACAACGTATTCGGAGAAATAAACATTTGTTGATTTGTTTATTATAGTATACTACTTTCAAATTCATTGCTATTTTCTCGTTTTTAAATGAAGAATTAGTATT